CTTAGATACTACTTTCTTGCTTATTGTCCAGTGGTGAGCAAGGTCTTGGAACTGGCTAACTTCCTCCTTCTTCCTATTGCTTGAAATTTGGTCTTCAGCATTTCTTTAAAAAAAAAAAATACTGGAGGTCATGATTATCTAAGGAATGTCAGAACATTGCAATTATATATTCATAACAAGCATATCCTTTATGTCCTTTATTTCCAATTCATGCAATATTTAAAAATGATAATATGATAAAAATATAAAACATGAAAAATAAAAATAGGTTAGTACATTAGACATAAATAAAAAATTTCAAAACACACTGAATGGGGAAGGTGAGCAACTCACTGGGGCTGTGGGTGGGAAGAGGGAGTAAATAAAAAATCTCGGGACTCTCCATTGGCTTCAGAAACTGCTTAGCTGTGTGGCCTTGGACTAGTCAATTTCCCTGGTTTCACGGTCTGTAAAATAGGCAGGGTATGATCGCTGAGGTTCCTTTCTTATTAATTTTGAGGTAAGATCTTTCTTAAGCACCTTAAATAACATGTTTCATTTTCTCTGCGGTTGTGAAGTGATGGAAAAGAAATGAGAAAAATGGAACTCTTAATGAGACTCATCTGTGTTTTGTGATGCCTTAGAATTTGTGATGTATATTTTGGGATTACTCTTATCTCTTTTCTTTCTTTATCCAAAGGGATTTGTTTAATCTTTTTTCCCCCTATTTTCTTCTGTCTCAAAAATCCATGTGGTCTTCCTGAGTCCTCACAGTCTTAATAACGAAGGAGCTTGGCAGGTTCAGCTGAGAATAGCAGCAGTGGCTCCAGTCAGCTTTAATTGGCAGGCAGCATGCAGAGAGGAACAATAAGGAACCAGAACTGAAAACAAATCGTAAACTAGAGAAAATGGAGACAAAGCAAATGAGTGGAATTAGCTCAGGGATCTGGGAAGACAGAAGTCGCAAAGGTGTTAGCCTTCTTTTTTCTTAGAATGGAAAGCCAGGCCCAGTGTACTGGGCACTCGGGGGGTTTGCAGAAATGAGGGGGCAAGGGACGAATAGATGAGAATGAGCATTTGGCTGTGTGTTGGACACACTTCATCATGCCAACTCAGCTAGCCCTGGGATGGCGGTGGAAGAAGAATCACAAAAGGAAACTTAAGATAACATGTACCAGTGCAAAATGCACTTTCTACTGCTCAGGTGAAACTATCTGAGGCACTGAATGAGGAGCAACACGATTTTTGAAAAAGCTAAGAAGGTGCCTACCAACCCGAACCAATGCGTTTGTTGTTGAGAAACGCTGTGCTTATTTGCAAGTAAGTATTCATTTCATGCCTCGCTATTTGGCTTGTAGGTTGGACTTAATTAAAAAAGCTGTAGCATCTTTGAGTCCAATTTCCTCTTTTCACATAGCATCTGTCCCTGACAGCTTGTGTGAGGCGCAGCCACTTGTTGAGGCTGAGGCTAGAGGAGGAAATGACAAGGGAGAGGCGAGGTGGACATACGCCTCTTGTTGGAGGTGGCACTTTCTAATTCTGCATGGCCCCGTCACGTGCGTGGGAGGCTTCTTGGTTGAAGCAAGGCAACAGATGTCTCCGAGAGGGGGATGCTGGCAGCATCCCAAAGGCCAGCAGGACTGCGGGTTAGGCATGAGTAAGCCAACGGGAGAGGGAGGCACACATGCTTTGCCCTCTGCTCAGAACTGGAAAACAGGCCAACTTTGGATAAGAGCAAATTCTAGAACTTAACAGAGGGTGATGGCAGAAAGAAAATACTTCTTTGAAATAAGCATTATCCTGTGGGGTGGAGGGGAACTTGACTATTTTCAAAGACAAATATGCCCCAGCACTTTCTACATTGAAATAGATGGCGCAAAAGATAAAAGTCAATAGGGTGTTGACTTTGCCTGTCAACTGTCTTGGTTTGCAAAGCATAGCCGCCTATGTATGCATTTACCTGGAGGTTTGGCTTTAAATGTTACCAGGAAAGAGAAATGAAGCTTTCTCCCCTTACATCTGTCATTCTTAGTTATCAGGACAAGTCTATCAGTAGATACAAACCAGCCTGTATCTCATTTGAAACAAGTAATTGAGTCTGTGGTAAGTAAGCTCTTACAGATGGAGCGTTGCACTTAATCTACTTTCCATTTGAAGGTTTTAAGTGTTGCTTTTAAAGCCGTTTGTTTCAAGTTCAAGGTATTAGAATTTGGCTCTTCAGGGACTTCATTCTTAATTTAAAGGAATCTTTGTAAATTGCTTGCGCCTTGTTCCTGAAATTACCTGGAATTTCCCTAACTGCGCTGTTTGAAAGCACAAGGACCATTTGACCAAACGTGCTGCATTCATGTTCTCTTTCTGCGCCTTTGCTCTTGTCCTCTGCATACCTTATTCCCGAATGGCCACATACGTTCTGGCTACATTTTGTCTCTGAATAGCCCCCTTCGCTTTTATGCAAAAGAACCAGCACTATGGCACATTCCCACCTGAAGCTTGTGTTCATCAGTCTCTTCCTTGGGTTTCTGTGGATAGTGAATCTCTGCTGCTGTTCCCATTTCTTTCCATTTCATGTCTGAAGAATACAGTCATTCTGATGGATGAGCAGACTGCCACAGATTCATGGAAGAAGACCATCTCTGGGCCATCTTAGGTCTTAAATTCACACACAGCCACATATCTAGAAAGCCAGCAAGGTCAGGAGCAACAGGGGTTGTGTCTGGCCAGGCAGTATTCCCGTGAGACTGGTGTGCCACGATGAATAACCTTTAGTAAGCTTTACTTGTACTTTTCCAATTCCACAAGTAATAAGATGATATTTATGGACAAATTAGAACAAAATATAGATGAGCAAAATGGATGACCTGCTTGCAAATTCTACATTTCGAAGTGTTAGTGGTCCATACGGGTTTGCAGCAGCCTCAATTCTTGTTTCCTCAGAAGAAAAAATTCAATGAAGGGGCATAAAGCAAAGTGAGAGGCCAAGACAAGTTTTAGAGCGAGAGGGAAAATTTATTAAGAAGTTTTAGAGCAGGAACAAAAGGAAGTAAAGGACACTCAGAAGAGGGCCACACAGGCGACTTGAGAGATTCAAGTGTGTGGTTAGACCTCTGACTTGGGGTTCATATGTTGGCATGCTTTCGGGGGTTGCATCTCTCCTCCCCTTATTCTTCCCTGGGGGTGGGTTGTTCGCATGCACAGTGGCCTGCCAGTACTTGGGAGGGGGCGCATGTGCAATGTGTTTACTGTAGTTGTACGCATGCTCACTTGAGGTGTTTTTCCCTTACCAGCGGAGTGTTTGTAGAGGAAGCCATAGACCAGTTACATTCCACCATTTTGCCTTTTAGTGCGCATGCTTGGGCCCACTCAGTCAACTCCTAAGATCTTATTGGGAAGGGCCTAATCACCAGTTTCAGGTGTTTTCTATCTATTGGGAGCCAGCCTTTCACCGGCTGCAACCAATGATTATTTTAGAGAGACAAATTAACAACTGCCTGCCCATCACTTAATGGTCTCCTGCCATTCCTGGTTGGGGGTGGAGGGGGCACCCCTGCCCTGCTCGTGTCTGCCTGACTCCCTACTGTAACAAAAGTAAGGCTTCTAATCGCCTTTTATGTACGTATATACCTGTAAATATATATATTGTTTTTACAAAAACGTGGTCAGACTATTCACATTAATTTTATTTCAAAATCTACCATGGACATATTTCCATATCTTTAAGTATTTGACATTATTTTTAAAGGCTATGCATAATTCAGTTGTATGGATGGAACTTTCTTTTTTTTATCCAGTCAACTGTTGTTAGATATTTAGGTTAATCCCAGTTTTTCTTTCTAATAAACCATGCTGCAATGAACATTCTTGTGGCTAAATTTTTGCACATCCTTAATTTTTTTTTAGTATTAAATCCTATGAGTTGAATGTTTGATGAAAAACAGTTATGGTAGATTCCTATTAAGGGAATCTATGCTGTATACCCTTTAGGATTGGCACAGAGCATCTGCACAGCAAAAGCAAGCACTGGATGTTTCCCAAACTCAATCTGAGACAGGGAAAGAGCAGGAAGGACTTCTGCCCTTCACTCTCTGGGAAGTTTTGTGTGTTTTACCGCCTGCTATCAATATGAAGAGAAGGACTTGGCTCCTCCTGTAGTTTGGCTGTTCCAAGCCCTAAATATTTGATTCAGTATCTTTAAAGTAGGCCTTATAAACCACCGGGAGTGGAGGATTTTATGACACTTTTACCACAATGTGCAAATTTGCATATACACATTTTATCTGTAGGAATATCTATACATGTAGACATGAGAGGCAGAGGCCAGAGAGAGAGACAGGCCAGCACACTTAGTTCTTCTCTGTGCTGAACAGAGATGCATGTTTTTGATCAGCTGAGGAGCATTATTGTAAAATGCAGACTAATAACATTTCACTGGAGAATAGAAAATACTTAGGGAAGCTGGAGTGCTCGGAGACAACCTTTCAATCCATTTACCAAAAGAGCTTATAATGGAACTCAGGTTTCAAGGGAGGTCAAACATTAATAAATATTGAGAAAAAATAGTTAAAAGGACATCAAGTTAATATTTTACAATCTATTCTTTGATCTTGGAAGGCTTGAAATATTTTTCTACACTACTTCTGTGATTTATTGATTCATCCCTGCCAGTTGGCATATTGGAACAGACACAGATGCCTTGCTTTTAACTACAGCTTCCATTTCTATAATGCTTTGCAATGCCAACAGATTTTCATGTATTCACTGGCATCACTTATGATACCGCCAAAGTTCTGGAATATTCGCTAGGTAAAAACTGGATTGTTGTCAGTAAAAGCAACTGAAACGTTATTGATTTTGGTTTCAATGCTGTAATAGCATCTCTTGGTTTTGTTGTATTGGTTGTGGGGGGTGGGGTGGGGGGGGGAGTAAAACCCCCTGCAGTTCATTGACTCTTTCACCTTTATCTGTATTCAAAATATATTCAGAATCTGATTATTTTTCTACTTTTGTTGTCACCACCCTAGTTTTGGAGGAAAAAAAAAAATCTGTCATGGACTACAATGACTTCTTAACTGGCTATTTCCACTTTTGCCTCTCTTCAGTGTGTTCTGAGCCCAGAAGCCAGAGCGAGCTTCCAAAATGTAAGTCAGATGATGTCTCTCCTCCGTCTTTGCACTCAGAGCCAACCTCTGCATGTTGGGCCTCGTCTTCCTCACCTGCCACACGTCCCACTCCCCGCTTCCATTGCAGAGATGGAGCTGTCAGGAGGCAGTCCCCATTGGGATTGGCAGCACTGGTCTGCAGCTCCCAATCTCAAGGCCCAGATGCTCTGCCTTCCCTGCTTTTTCTGAAGGAGATTGTCGCTGCTGCTGCTGCCTAACAACCCCATTCACTGGTCCACTAAATCCTCTTCCCTTCCATCTCGTCCCCTCGCTCTGACGATGGCCCCTTCTCCCTCCTGCATCGCCGATTTTCCCCTAAATTAACGAGGGTCAGGCTTTGCCCCATCACTCCACCTACACCCTTCTTCTGAGGGCAGCTAATGCCCCCCCCCGCTATATTAACTCAAGGGTCCACTTTCAGTCCTTGCCTTATGTGGCCTCTGAGCGACATTTGCAAATGTTGATCACTAACTCCTCCTTGAAGGTGCTCTTCTGGCCTCCACAAAGGGCACTGTCCTCCCTCAGACTTCAGGTGACTTCTCTGTCTTTACATCACACTCCTCCGTCCTTCCCTCACTCAGCTCCAGACACACAGGCCTCCTTGCTGTTCCCCAACCAGGTCGGATATGTTTCAGGGCCTCTGCACTTGCTGCTTTTCCTGCTTCGAATGTGCTCCTAGCTGTCCGCATGGCTCTCTATCCCTCTCTTCTTTCAAGCACGTACTCCAGAGGCACAGGTGCCACCTCTGTTCTTTCCCTCCACCCTTTCTCCATAGCACGTCTCTTCGTCTGCCTCACTATCTGTTTTACATATTTATTTCATTTATTGTCAGTCTCTGTGCACTAGACTATAAGCTCCATGAGGGTGGGAATTTTTATCTATTGTGTTCTTTGTCGTATCTCTGGCGCCTAGAACAGTGCCTAGTGTGTGATAGGTACATAATAAATGTTAGTTAAATGAAGGAATGAATGTTCATGATAGTGCTAGCAGTGTACTTGGAGAAATACGTTAGGCTTTATACAGGGATTTAAAAGATTTATAATTTTCTTCTAATTATATGATTTGGGAAAAACAGGGGTGTTTGGGGACAAAACCAAATATTTGGAAGGTGGCATGCGTTTCTGATTTTGCCAGCCTTTCTGTATCCATGGAAACACTTTCTCAGAACTGTAAATTGGGTGTATGTCCTTAGTGCCTGTCTTGTAACCTCAAGAAGGTACCATTTTTGTGCCACATTGAAAGACAAGGACAGAATGAGAAACAACTGAGATCCTAAGTCAGCACATTTGATTCAGAGGCATTATAAGTGTACACCTGAGAGACTCCACTAAAAATGTAGCAAATTCCTCCCTTCTGCCTTTGAGGCCTACTCTCCAGGTAAGAATCTCACAGGTCGCCACTTTGTTTTCCCCAGATTATGTCAGCACATGGAGCGCACACAGCACCATCCCCTTCCCTGCCTGTTTTTATGCATTTTTTTCTTCAAAAATACCTTCTCTGCTTCTGCTTGCTGAAGTTGCATTCCCTTCAAGGCCCAGCACAAATGCAAACTTGTCTGTGAAGCCCTCCCAGACTCTGGCAGTCCACATGGATTCCCGCTTTGGGCTATACTGCTTAGAACAAGCAAACCACAGGGTAGTCATCCTTGGTATCTTTTGGGGGGAGTGGTTCCCTGGACCCCCAACAGATACCAAGCTCCATGGATGCTCAGGTCCCTTGTATAAAATGGCATAGTATTTGCATATTACCTATGCACACCTTCCCATAAACTGTAAATCATCTCTAGACTACTTAGAATACCAAATACAATGTAAATGCTATGTAAATAGTTGTTACTCTGTATTGTTTAGGGAATAATGACAAGGAAAAGAGTCTGTACATGTTCAGTACAGATGGAACCATTCATTTTTTTCAAATATTTCTGATTCGTGGTTGGTTGAATCCACAGATGTGGAACCCAGGCATATGAAGGGCTGACTGAATCCCTCAGTTTAGCTGTGAATGAACGAACACACACACATATTAAACTCTTTGAGGGCAAGAATTATATCATACTCTTCAGGTATTTTCAGCACCTAGAAAATGCCTTGGACACTAAAGGCTCTCAGAATTGTAATAAAATGGAAACAACCCCTTAAAAAAATCAGGGCCAGGCATCATGGCTCACACCTGTAATCCTAACACTTTGGCCAAGGCGAGTGGATTACTTGAGCCCAGGAGTTGAAGCCCAGTCTCAGCAATATAGTGAGACCCCATCTATTTAAAAAACAAACAAACAAACAACAACAAAAAACCTTAAATTTAAAAAAGACAGGAGAGAGAGTTAAAACTGTGAGGAAATCCGTTCATGGTTATTGAGGCTTTTTCTACCAATGTTTTCATCTGGTAGCATGATGAAATCCCAGTGAGAGTTGTCTGTTGAGCCTACTTACTTATTTTCATAAGATTTGTTAGTAAGACCAGGCAAATGCTTTTGGGGGCTCTAAGTGAGCCCTTGAGAAGCAAGTTTTTGACTAATGCAGATCTGGCCTTTGTGGCATTACTGCCTTTGCCAGCAGAGGGGATTACGCAAATTGGCAAAGGGTCTTGAGCCAGCAGGGTCTTATGGGAGGCTTCACTGATGCCTGAAATGTTGAGCATTGGGTCCCAGAGGAAGGAGAGTTGGTATGATCTCAGCAGCTGAGCTGTCTGTGGGCACTGCAGGCTAGAAATAGTCCATGTTGAAGAAATATGTGTTGTAGCTGAGAAGCCCTAGGCCAGGATTACTCTAAAAAGAGAAAGGTCTGTCCATGTATGATCAATCGCCTTCTAAAAATTCTAGCTATGGCCGTGCACGGTGGCTCATGCCTGTAATCCTAGCACTTTGGGAGACTGAGGCAGGTGGATCACGAGGTCAAGAGATTGAGACCATCCTGGCTAACACAGTGAAACCCTGTCTCTACTAAAAATACAAAAATTTAGCTGGGTGTGATGGCACGCACCTGTGTCCCAGCTACTCCAGAGGCTGAGGCAGGAGAAGCACTTGAACCTGGGAGGCAGAGGTTGCAGTGAGCCAAGATCACAACACTGCACTCCAACCTGGGCAACAGAGGAACTCCAACTCAAAAAAGTTTCTCAGTGCTGTGGAGTAAAAACAATAGAGAGATGTCAGTTACTCCAGAGAAGAGGAAGGGTACCTTCAAGAGAGCATTTACCTAACAGACTCACTTAGCTTCATTTACCTAAGACTCAGCGTCGGCCTTGAAGGTATTTGCATGTTAGAGGGCTGGGTTTCCTTTCCTTGAATACTTTTCAAAAGGGCTTCTTTCTAATGGCTTATGTGTATTCTGTTGAGAAAATGAGGGACAGAAGAGATAAAGTACTCAAAATCTGTGTAGCAGCTGTTTAATGAACTTACTATGAATTGTCTTGTGGAGGTACAGAGTGACTTCTTATGGGTAAACACTTTGCCTGTAGCCTGAATTCATGCACAAACTTACCTCTGTGACAGGATCCTGGCTGGAGGGGGGATTTGGGTTTGGGAGCTGGGCAAGTCCAGGAGGGCACTCTGTTAATGTCTCCTCTGGATTAAAAGGAGCTGCCCTAATGTTTCAGGACTTCCTCCTTAGTTCAGCTAAAGAAGGGGTTCTTGTTACACGGCCGTGAAATATTAGGCTTGAAGATACTTTGAAGGGCAAGGAAAATGGAATTTATTGAGCAAAAAAGGAAAAAAAAAGGAAACAGGGACCCTCAGCCGAGCAAGACTCCTGCTTGTCAATTTCCCGCCTCACAGATTGAATCCCAGGTTCCGCCCTGGAAGAGGAGGGGCCAGGCTCCTCCCGTCTGCAAAGGACACGAACTTCTGTGGCCCCACCTGGGGACCCCTTTACACTGATGGTCTCATTGCCCTCTCTGAAGAGGTACATCTGACTGCCGTTTGAAATAAGGACGAAGATCCATCTTAACTGCCACCTGCTGACAGCAGGTGCTATTTTGGGGGAAACAGCAGTCAGAGCTCCCTCAGAGGATGATCTGAGGGACCCTGGAAGAAGGGGCCATCAGCTGAGGCTCTGGTTGCATGACCCTTTGGAGTCTGATGGCCTGAAGGTGAGAAGAGACAAACTGGGTTATTAGAAAACATGTATTAAAATGAAACAAGGTGGGGAGGGTAAGGACAACTCAAAAATCCCGAAGCTGTTTAGCCGTTTGCACAGGGGGATGGAGGCCAAAAGCCTGACTGGTAAAGAAAACTTTACCCTTCTGCGAGTATGTTGGGCTTCTAGGTTTCCTTCCCCTGAGCTCCTAAGCCAACTAGTTTAAGGCTTGGGAAATTAACCTTTCCCAATTTGGAGGATGCATCTGAGGGGAGTGTCCCATTGAATAGAGACACAATTACTTATCTATGAAGAGAGGACAAAGGAGGATACAGGAAAAAAGAAGGCATTTTTAAAATGAGTCACAGGGGTTCAGTATGCATTCAAAGGGATATAGATTGAAGATAAATGGCTCCCCACTTAGAGGAGAGAGGGCATCCCTGGCACTTTCTCTTCTGAGCTAGTACCCTGGGTACATGAGGGAGAGAAGAAAGAGCATTTTCTTTCTTTCATCTGTCCCTGCATCCCTGAGTCCCAGTGTCCTTGGCAGTCACCACCCATGGGTGCCAAAGCAGCTTTCACCTATGAAGCAGGGGGTCTAGAGAATAAGAATTATTTGCACTCACCTATGTTTCTATCCACCCTGCTGTTAGTAGCCTTGGAGTCCCCTTGGCCTCATTTAGGCCATGGATACTAGCATGAGTCTTATTTATGAAACGAGAAGCTTGGCAGAATCGGCAGGAATTAGCCGTGCTCACCTGTGCTGTGTTTTTTAACCTCTGTTATTGTTTGCCTTCGGTTTTCTTAGATTCAGTTTTTTCTTCTATGGCTTTGACCCAAAGCTTGGAATTGAATTAGGGAAAAAAATGTGTTTCAGGGGGGTTGCATGGACTCCCCTGAGTCCTT